TCTGCCAAACTGCTGGCAGCTGGTGATCAGCAGAAGTAGCCTGCAGTACTGCACTCTAACCATTGTGCCATTGCAGCTCATAAATATTATTAGATTAGCAATCTTCTACTCACCTTGAGGCCTACAGATTCATTACTACCAAATTTACAATTTGAAAATGAAACCAAGCTATTCAAAAATATTCAAGGTATTTAGAATTGCATAAGATCAAGAAATAAAGCCAATTAACAACTACCATCATAAAAAGGCCTAACTTACACATACCGTGTTTCCCCGAAAATAAGACAGCGTCTTATTTTCTTTTTACCCACAAAATATGGCTTGGGCCTTATTATGAGGGGAGGGTTTATTGTTTTGGGGTTGCAGGGTGGCTGCTCTCTTACGAGGGGGCTCCCAAAGAGCCGGGCATAGCCTCATGGGTGAATGGCTGTGTTGTGCTGTCATAGCAACCATGAAGCAACAACACTCATGAGCAGTCACCCGATAAACCCCCTTTCCAGCCGGGCAAGCACCATTCATTGACCTAGTGGTATCGCCAAGCTGAGTGAGAGCCTGTTTGCCGCTGCCCAGCTCCCGTGGCTTGGCACCTTCGAAATGGCAGTGAATGGTGCTCTGCACGGCTGGAGAGGGGAGTTGCACGAGCAGCTGTTCCGCTCTCGCTCGCGCGCCTCCCAGACTCATGATGCCCTGGCCCAGCTCTCTCCAAAGAACCAGAGCACTTCCGCTGCTGCCGTCACCACATGGCTTTTTTTGCAGCTTCCAAATCGAGTCTTCCAGAAGTGGCCGCTCTGGGCGTATGCTCTATGGTTGTGGGCCAGCTGCCGGCAGAGCGTACCACCATAGAGCATACCACCATAGATGTGGGGGGTTGTCCAGGGGGCTTATTTGCAGGGGAGGGCTTATATTTTTGCCCACCAGAAAAATGTGGCATGACCTTATTATCAGGACATGTCGTAATTTTGGGGAAACACGGTACAAGAGTATGTTTCCTTGTGGAACAAACCAAACTGCATGCATACATCACACTTAGCCATGGCTTAGCCACAGTGTTGAGTAAATAAGAGATTCACCCATCAAGTTATGTAATAAATTAGTGGTTTATAAATAAGATTAGAAAAAAAACCCCAAATCATGCTAAATACCTTGTGACTTAGTATTAACTAGGAGCAGGCTTAAATAATGTTCTAAGTCATAAAAAATGCTTTTTTTATAATGCTAAACTAACACAAATCACATTATGTCTAATTGTGGTTAAAATTACAGTATACTCTCTTAAGTCATACATGCATAATCTTTTAGCCCATTTCTTAACAATAAGTTATAGAATATTCTAGAGTCATTTAACCACTATTAAACTAAAATAGTAGTAAGCAGAATAGGCTTTATAACACTCCAACAATGACTGGATGAGGCTATCAAGACTTTAAACGTCAATAATGAAAAATAGTCTTAATCACAAGTAAATAAGACTATGTCTGCACTACCATTCACAAAAGAAACAACAGTTAAAACACCTTTCAAAAAATGTAATTTTAGTTATAGTTTACATTAAGAAGGAGTGGGTTCATACAATGTATTAAGTCATGACTGGAACCAGTTTGGTGTAGTGGTTACGGTGCTGGTCTAGAAATCAGAAAACTGTGAGTTCTAGTCCTGCCTTGGGCATAAAAGTTGGCTGGGTAACTTTGGATCAGTCACTCTCTCTTAGCCCAACTCACCTCATAGGCTTGTGGTTGTGGGGAAAATAGTTGGTAGGAGTATTAGGTATATTTGCTGCCTTGAGTTACTTATAAAGAAATGTGGGATACAATCTGATAAATAAATTGGGGTGTTGGTTCTGATACGGTCATGCATGGATTAACTCAGTCAGTCACCAATAGAACTGAGTCTACCAAAGTGATGTCATCGCCTCAGGGGAGTGTCCTCCCGCTTTTGTGACGAAGGAGATAAGTAAACTGCTGTGTGTTAGTTGACTGCTTTTAATCCTCCAGGAAACCCCCTCCCCCAGCTCCATAATGCCTACCTTCACTAGGCCAGGAACCAAGGGTGGGGATGACCGCTGTCTCCATCTGCCTAGAGAAGAGGCGTATCAGGTAAGAACCAACGCCTTGTTCTCCAACGTTGGTGGAGACAGCGGTCATGCATGGGACGTACCAGAGCTGGGCTTGTCCCCGGGTGGGATTGAGACTGGGCTAGAAGCTTGAAGAAGGGAGAACTTGNCTGCAACATCATGGGAAAGACACAAGTAATCAGAGATCTGATTGCAAGTTGCTTAAAGCAGACACTCCTCAGTCTTGTATTAAGAAACCACACTCGTCCCTTTAAACTTGTTTGCAAAACTCAACAAAGCATTTCTAATTCAATGCTACACAATAATACTGCATATAAATAATATAACAAAATCAATGTCCATACCTTAATGGTACATCTGTATTTCCCTGGACTCTACCCAGTACAAGAATTTCATATGGCTTTTTGTGAAGAGAATCTAATGGGATCACAAATTCTCCAGACTTTGTAATCTGAAACAGAAAAATTTGAACAAATGTAGCCAGTGTAAGCAAATAGCGCAAGCTATTTTATGTGTGTTTTACCTAAATTTGTTTTTAATGCAGAAAACAGTGGATTAGCTGAGCACTATATCAATATATAATTACTTCCGACATAACTGCAACTAAAAAAATGTAAAAGTGCATGCATTTCTCCAGATCAGGATTCAAGAGCTGCCCAAATCTGGTCAAAGAAAACCAATTCTAGTGTTTTATGTATCACTCACGAAGACTAAATGCTAAAAATTACCCATTTAACATCCATTGTGTTATAAATTAAGTTTAAACCTGAGCTAATTGTGTCAGTGTTATTAAGAACAAAATAACAAATTTGAGGAATACTGAGATTCACATGTATAAGGGAAGCTACTGAATTGGGGACTGCTGTCATATGTAGAAGCAAAATTGGAACACTGAATACTGCTATGATCACTGATTGGGGCAATTTATGATTGAAGGGCTGCACTATGATCCAGGAAAATGGCATCCTTTTCTTTGCTTTTCATTTAAGGAAATCAACAATATGGCGATAACAGCTCCACCAGTTTAAAAATCCTATTCCTTAATGTCAGATCAATTGCTAGAAAAGCATCTATTGACAATATGTGAATCACAGACACTTGGCTGACAGAAATTGAAGCAATGTCTTCAATTTGCTTGGCTCACTAGGCTACTCTATACTGTACACCAGACTAGGATTGGAAACCAGGAAGGAGAAAGTACATGGGCTGCAGAAATTTCATCTCGCTATCCCAATGCCCCTTTCCCTGTCTGCTAATTCTGAGCACAGCCTTTTGTATTTGAGTGGCTGGAACAGTAGAGAGCAGGCCTTTGTGAAACAGTTTAGATTTTGTTTTGTACCTTGGAAGCAACTTCACCAAAGCAAAAAATGTAAGCCAGTTAGTCTCAACCAAGATTTTTGAATGGCCTCAAAATGCATACAGCCTACAAAACTACTGCAGGACTAGTCTCTTCTCAGCTCTCCAGTCAGCTACCAAGCTAGATATTTTCATGACTGCCCATAACTGGCAAAAAGAAAGCTGTTTTCAATGTTCAGGTGCTCATCAAAGCCATGTATTTTGCATCCTACTAAAGCATTCATAAAGCCACTCAGCCTGGAAGACCTTTTACCATAACCAGAAGGTAGTGCTAGAAACAATAGTCTCTTATCTAGATTATTGGTCTATGGTGTCCCATAGGGTTCAATCCTTTCCCTACGCTATATGGTATCTACACAAAACTGCGGAAGATCATTCGAAATTTTTAAATTAGTATCATCAGCCTCTTACCATGCTACACCAAGGAAGCAATTGAGATATTTGAATGTTATTTAAAATGTTCAAGTATATTTAATAATGAGCCGGATATGAAGTCACAAGCTGAAATTACTTCAGACAAGATAGCAGTGCTGTTAGTAAATAGATTTGGAAATTAAAATTCAGCTTGTTGTGGGTAGAGGTGCATTCCTTCTGTAACCTTAAGAATGCCTTGATCCTCAGCTATAATTGGATTTGCAAGTTTCTGCTTTGTGTATTTAGATCTAGCCCACCATATGCAGCCTGACATGTTTGGCAATGGTTATCGACTGCGCGCTGCGTGAAGCTACCCTTGGAAAGTGTCCAGACATTGTGGCTGGTGTAAAATGTGGCAGCTAAGCTGCCAGCCAAAGCAAAGTACAGGGAATGTATGAATCTATACATTCTGCACTGCTTACTAATGGCATATGCTAGTCTATGGGAGTTCACGATCTATAAAATATCATCTTCCTTTTAGACCTTATCAACCTTTTAACACGGTAGAAAGGCAACCACTATCAGAAACTCATCATTCTGATACACAAGAAGAGACATCTTGGATCTCCAACTATATGGAATACACTCCTTCAGAAGGTGTCTTTGCTTTGTGAGTTTATTATTGTTTGTTTACTTTTCATATAGGTGTATAGTGATCACCAGAGCAGAAAGATGGATTAAGGAGCTGCATAAACAAACAAACAAACAAACAAACCTATTCTCTCACTCTAAAATTTCTAGTAGAAAAACTAAAAAAAACAGTTTAAGCTTTGCGCTGGTATTGATCACACATTTCTAGGCTGATAATGTTCTCATTTATTTTCTTAACTGTAATAAAAAATAGAAATATGGTATGTAAGCCTGATGTTCAGAACTAAGGTGTGTGAATTCTTATCCCAACCTGTCACTTATAAATGAAGAAAAATAGATTTTAAAAATGTAAAATGCATTTAAAATGTACCACTAAAATTAGTACTAGAATTACTATAACAAATATTAAATGGGGGAGGGGGGAGAGATCTAGCAAACTTACTTTTACCCAGAACCATTCAACAACACCATGTATAGACCAGTGAGGGTAAAGTTCATTCTTTACAAATTGTAAATGCTTCTGTCTGTTGGTCACCCACATGACCACAAGACAATTTGGAGCTGCCAATGCTGGGACAGGAATTTCTTTGATTTGCCAGTGAGACAAGAAACCATACCTAAATGTGGATAGAGAGAATTCAAGAGCTCATCCAAAACAAGAGAGGATGTTTGAAATTGTCTGACACTTTTTACAAACTTTGTCTAATTTAACAACTTCTAACTAGATTAAATTTGAGTCAAGAGTGACATCCAGTGGTGAAAAGCTTTCCCTTTACATTTGGATCTACTGAATGTAAATCTATCTACAATCTAATTACAATCCGTTTTCCCTTCCCAAAGCAGATACGTGTTGGGAGGAAAAAAACTTCTGAAGCAAACTGAGTTTTTCATTAAATCATTTCTGAATATTAGATTAATAGTTTGAGGTGCAGTAATTGTAATTTATTCCATTTATGTGGTATTTTGAAAGCATCTTGATCAAGTATGAAATTCATTACTGAACAATGGCTACCGGTTACCAGACTACCGATGCGGTCTGGCTGTATTATTATTATCCTTCTCATGTTTTCTATTACCTTCTCTTATTGGTATCATTATTATGCTTATTTTGTTGTTTGTATGTACACCGAGACATAAGAGCCAAGGTGGCGCAGTGGTTAAATGCAGCACTGCAGGCTACTGCTAGATCAGCAGGTCAGCGGTTCAAATCTCACCGGCTCAGGG